GAGCAGCAAGTTATGTATTTTGTCTCTGCTGCCTAGAGGCATGGGTGCTGCTGCTGCTGTGGATGGGTGGCTGCTACAATCCAGCAGCAGCAATTGCTGCTGTTCCTGCTGCTGCTGCTGCTCGTTGCTGCCTAAAGAATATATTAATTGATTGGATTGCTGCTGCTGTCTCTCCTACCCATACCTCCTTCCCCCTTAGTATTGAGCATGCATACAGCAGCAGCAGCAGCAACAGCAGCAGCAGCAGCAGCAGCAGCAGCTTCAAGCAGCAGCTACGAGACTATTTGCATGCAGCACTTCAAGCCCCAAACTTCTTCGGATTACCTGATGGTAAATAAATAAATAAATAAATAAATAAATAAATAAATAAATAAATAAATAAATAAATAAATATGTTAAATAAATAAATGAATAAATAAATAAATTTATTGCATGCTGCTGCTGTTCCTGCTGCTGCTGCTGCTGCTGCCATGTTGTGCTGCAGTTGGCGCCTTTGAGGGCTTTGATGGACTGCCTGTTGCTACCCACATCCCTATAACAGCAGCAGTAACAGCAGCAGACAGCAGCAGCAGCAGCAGCAGCAGCAGCAGATTTATTCGTGCTGCGCTGCGGCTATTTGGCCAAGGAGAAGACAGGGAGCAGCAAACGTTGCTGCAGTTGCTGCTGCTGTATTGCTGCATGTGGATAGATGCGTTGTTATTTTATTCCTTATGTGGTTTGCTGCTGCTGCTGCTGCTGCAGCTCCGTGCTGCTGTATGGCTGCTAGCAGGCAGTCCCTTCTTTGCTGCTGCTTGCTGCTGCTTAACTGCAGCAGCAGCAGCAGCAGACAGGGTACTATCTAGGTTCGGTAGGCAAGGAGACGATGATTGGGAGACACATAAGGAGCTTAATCAGAGACTATTGGGGGCCCCCGTGGGGCCCCCCTCTGCTGCTGCTGCTGCTGCTGCAGCTACATCTACCATCGGTACCTATACGCTATCCAACAACAACAGCAGCAGCAGCAGCAACAGCAACAGCAGCAGCAGCAGCAGCAGCATGGGGGGCGCCACAACCTTTATACCTGGGCATGCAGCAATCAGCTGCTATGGCAGTCATGTTGAGACAGACTCACGAGGTATACCCCGGGCTAGCGAGCTGCTGCTGCAGCAGCAGCAACAACAGCAGCAGCAGCAACAGCAGCACAGGCAACAGCTGCAGACCAGAAGCAGCAACAACAGCAACAGCAGCAGCAGCAGCAACAGCAACAGCAGCAGCAAGTAGAGCATGAGAACGAACAGCAACGCTCGCGGTCTCTTTCTGTCTCCGAGCCAACAGCCCCTAGCCAAACAGGCAGCGACCAGCAGCAGCAGCAGCAACAACAGAAGCAGCAGCAGCAGCAACAGCAGCAGCAGCAGCAGCAGCAGCAGCATTTTGTACTAGAAGATAATAATTTAGATACAGAGGATGAATATGATGATCCGCCATCAGCACAAACGGAGACACCTGTCTCCCTCCTACGTAGCGAGGCATAAGCAGCAGCAGCAGCAGCTGCTGCTGCTGCTAGAGCAGCAGCAACAACATTTACAACTGCAATAGTGCAGCCACGGGTTTTCCTTTGCTGTGTAGCTAGCTAGCCAGCTAGCTAGCTAGCTATCTAGCTAGCTAGCTAGGCAGCAAATAGACAGTTAGCTAGCCATCTAATAATAGGCTAGTTAGCTAGCTTGCTAGTACCCTTTATTGGGGGGCCCCCTTTGGACCCTTTATTGGGGGGGCCCCCATCAAGGTTTTTTTCGGAGTCTTTTTGGGGCCCCCATTGAGCAGCAGCAGATGGGGGCCCCTATAGTTGTGTTATATATAAATGTATATAATATATATATACGCTAAACCCTAAACCCTAAACCCTAAACACTAAACCCTAAACCCTTGTGTGTCTTTGGCTTTAGTCAAAGAGAAAGGAGGAGAAAGAAGTAGTAAAGGAGATTCCTGTCTGGAGATAAACCCTAAACCCTAAACCCTAAACCCTAGGGGCGTAATTTTCCCTTTGTTTGTTCTTCTCCTGCTCTAACTATTTTTATTAATAAATGTTAATAAGCCAAATAAATTGGCTAGGGTTTAGGGTTTAGGGTTTAAGGTTTAGGGTTTAGACGCCCTTTATGTGTAGAGTCCATTAGGGCTCATAATAAACACCTTTTGGGGGCCCCAGTGGGTCACCTTCCCAACAGAAGGGGGCCCCCTGGGGGGCCCCCAACAGCCCCCAGGGGCCCCCTTGGTTGTTGTGTTTATTATTCTAATTTATTTTTTAATAATAAGCAGCAAACTTTTATTTTTTATTTTTCCCTCCTAAGGAATAATAGGGACAAAGTGGGCCCCTAGGGGGGCCCCCGGGGGCCCCCAGGAGGCCCTCTTACCGCAACAGGGTACTTGTTATATAAAAAGGGGACACCTAAAAGAATAACACAAATAAATAGGGGGCTCTGTAAGAGGTGTCTCTCTTATAGCCTCCATGGCACTCTGGGGGGCCCCGAGGGGGGCCCCCTGGGGGCCCCCTTATGGGGGCCCAAAAAGGATCTTTTTATGTGCAAGACAGCAGCTGAGACCCTGCATAGATCTCATTCTGTTGCTGGTGTTGCTGCTGCTGCTGCGTGTATCAGCTGCAAACACCTGGGGCCCCCCCTCGGTGGCTGCCTTCGTTGGCTGGGGCTCCCAAAGAGCAACAGCAGCAACAGCAGCAGCAGCAGCAGCAAACCCTCAGGGGCCCCCTCTGCATCTAAGGGGGCCTCGGTATCGGAGCCCCCTGATAAGGGTGGTAGCAGCGTCTGGCTCGGCATCAGAAGCCAACCAACTGCAGCAGCAGCAACAGCACCAAGAACAGCAGCAAGAGCAGCAGCAGCAAGAGCAGCAGCAGCAACAGCAGCAGCAAACTGCGCCAGGTACAGCAGCAAATGCCTTTCATGTACCCGTATTGCTGCCTCTCTCTATTGACCTCCTCTTAGGGGCCCCCCCAAGCACAGCTGAAGCAGCAGCAGGGTCTAGTAGGAGATCCCTAAGGAGGGCCCCTAGTCCTAAGGGGCCCCTTGAGGGGCCCCCCGAAGGGGCCCCCGAGGGGCCCCTAAGACCCAGGTTGTTTATAGATTGTACTGCTGGAGGAGGAGGGCATTCTGCAGGCATAGCCAGAAGACTTAATAACCAAGTTAGCTCTTTTTAGTACTCATTAGGGGCCCCCAGGGGCCCCAAAGGGCCCATAGGGGGCCCCATGCAGCAGCAGGAGAAGAAGCAACAGCAGTAGCACCATCAGCAGCAGCAGCAGTATCAGTATCTTCCCGTGTCTTGTGTTGCTGCTGCTGCTGCTGCTGTGCTGCAGGACACTCTTATTTGCTGCGACATAGATGGAGAGGCATTAGCAGCAGCACATCATCGTCTTTGCTGCTGCTGCTGCTCTACAAACTCTCATATGGGGGGCCCCCAAACAGGGGGCCCCCAGGGGCCCCAGGGGCCCCCAGGGTACTTGGCGTCTAGGGGCCCCCAAGGGTGCCCCTCCATTAAGTTTGTACAGGGTAACTTTAGGTACCTAAAGGAGATTGTTAACTTGGCTATAGGGACAGAAGCAGAAGGAAAGGTTGACGGGTAATTGCTGCTGCTGCTGCTGCTCCTGCTGGTGCTGCAGTTGCTGCTGTTGCTGCTGTTGCTGCTGTTGGCGGTACTCTTGCAGTTGCTGTTGCTGCTGCTGCTGTTGCTGCTGGTCTGACTGCTGTATTGATACCTAAACGGTACGGACTCTACACTGTCCCTACTGCTGCTGGTGCTGCTGTTGCTGCTGCTGTTGCTGCTGGTGTTGCTGCTGCTGCTGTACAGGATAATAGCGGATTTAGGTGTCTCCTCTTGGCAACTCGATTCTCCCCATAGAGGATTTAGCTATCGATTCGATTGTCCCTTGCTGCTGCAAATGTATCACCCCCTACCTGCATGCAGCAGCAGCAGCAGCAGCAGCAGCAGCAGCAGCAGCAAGGATTGCAGCAGCTGCGGACAAGTATACATACACAGCAAGTCTGTTGAGATGGCGAGAGCTCAGCCGTCCCCAACGGAGGTATGCCTGCTGCTGTTGCTACTGCTATTGCTGCTGTTGCTGCTGTTGCTGCTGTTGATGTTTTTGCTGCTGCTGCTGTTGAGCCTTGTGCTGCTGCTGTTGCTGTGCATTTGCTGCTGCAGTTGCTGCAGCACGGCAGCGGCCCACTGCTGCAGCGTGTCTTGTGGCAGCTAGGGGAGGAGAGACTGGCTGGCCGCATAACTGCAGCACTGGTCTCCCGTCAGCAGCAACAGCAGCAGCAACAACAGCAGCAGCAACAGCAGCAGCAGCAGCAGCAGCAAATAAGCAGTAGCGAATTAGCAAATATAATAAAAAAGTGTCTCCCTCCTGTCTCTTATAAACAAGAAAGAAAAATTCTATCAAGAGTCTTCCAGGTATTCACTCTCCTTTTTTGTCTCCTTTTTTTGTCTCCTTTTTTGTTTCCTTTTTTGTCTCCTTTTTTGTCTCCTTTTTTGTCTCCTTTTTTGTCTCCTTTTTTGTCTCCTTTTTTGTCTCCTTTTTTTGTCTCCTTTTTTGTCTCCTTTTTTGCCTCCTTTTTTGTCTCCTTTTTGTCTCCTTTGTGTCTGCCTTTGTCTCCTCGTGCTGCTGCTGCTGCTGCTGCCTGCTGGAACATGGTAGATGCTGCAGCAGCAGCAGGAGCAGCAGCAGCTGCTGGATTGTTTGGTCTTCTGCTGCAGCAGAATCTGCTGCTGCGTGTGTGTCTCCTTTCTGTTGCTGCAGGCATTAAGAATGTATATAAATGAGGAGACACTTGCGCTGCAGCAGCTGCTGCTGCATGCGCTGCTGCTGCTGCGTCCTGGTGGTCGTCTTGTGCTGCTGTCCTTTCATTCTATAGAAGATAAAATTGCTGCTGCTGCCTTCCAAAGAAATAAATTGTGTCCCCTTACTGCAGCAGCAGCAGCAGCAACAGCAGCAGCAGCAGCAGCAGCAAATGATG